GACAGGCAGGGTTTTTTTTTTTTTTTTTGACTTGGAAGATTACTCCTAAAGTAGCTTAGGGAGTTGTGTTTCTTCTAACTTCTGTTTCTTATTCTTTGTTTACTTTTTTTGCAGCAACAAGTGTATGAAGTCAAGCTGGAGGATGGAAATGTTTATGTGAAGCACAGAAGTCATCTGTCCTTACAGCCTTTTCCTCCAGATCGGAAAAGCTGATCTACCTCAGAGCAGGTGCTTTGTCCTCCTGTCCATTTGTTAGACTTGTGTAATGAACCTACTGTAGTTTGTTTTGAGACTTATTCCACAAACCCAAGCCGTCCAAAAACATTTCTAAGCCGTATCTCTCATTTCCTCAGTTTTGTTTCTCTTGGATTGCTGTATTCTCAGGACCAAATCCAGGAGAGTTTCTTGCGTTTTTCTTGCTGCTGGCATTCGAGATGGAGAACCATGCGCAGGCACTTAACCTGCAGAATCAGCAGGTTATTGTTGATTTTTTGATAACACAATAGATGCAAGATGAAGGTAGTGGATTTATGCAGTTTCATGTATTTTTTTTCTTCCTTAAAAAGAAAATATCATGATTTTTAGTGGAAATATTACAGAGTAAATTTGATGTGCACTTTAGTTTTTTGCCTTTAGATTTGAGCCATTTGCACTTTCCATTTCATTGTTGATCAAAACCCTGTAATTGGAGTGGATCTCACCATTTTTCATCTCAGTTCTCAAGCTCTCAGCCTCTCTGCCTTGTTGCACTGATATGCACTAGCAAGCAAAAACAAATCTGTTTGAAGAAACTGAAAATCCTTCCAAATGCTGTTTATAATTCAAATATAAATTACCAAAACTCCAAACAGATTTTTTTTCTGTTTACAATCCACCTGTAATCAGAGTTCTGTTGACCAATCGCATTTGAGCAGGCTTCGGTTACACGCAAATAAAGAAATCCATGCGGGGAGCAAAAACAGGAACGCATTCGCCAAACTGCAATCTTGTCTGATGATAATTAAATTTTATATTTGCTTTGTTAACTTTATCTTCAGGAACAGAAAAGAAAGGCTTGACCTGGATATCCACTGGCTGTACTGCAAGTCTTGAAAAAACGGTTATTGCACCAAGATGCTAAGTCAGCAGACTGACAGTTTGGTTTTTGAATCACAGAGGCAATAGGAGCATCCAAAATGTAGCACTATGAGTTTTTAATTCAATTAAAATTGATAAAATAAAGAGTAAAAATGAGTAAAAACTGAACACCATCGTCTTGATTTCTTGAAAAGAATCATCATATTTTGCATGTTAGCGTTTTCGAATAACCAGTATAGGTCTCCTTTAAGCCCACATTTTGCATCTAAGTGTCATTTTCTTTCATGGTTTACTATATTTCCTATTATTCCAGACTTGAGAGGCACACTTGTTTAGTTTTGCCCTTGAAGCGATGTCACATAGGAAGAAACTCTCTTCCAGGATTTATTTGCAAAACTTTTTTTTTTAACCCAATTAGAGTTTAAGCAAATAGAAAACACATCAAGGACACTGTGGTTACAGTTGGTGGCAATTCCACAGCTAACACGTCTCCATCAGCATTTCTCTTCATTCCTGTCTTCTGCACAGACAGGTTTGTCTGTTTCTGACGCAGTGGGATTTACGAGGAACGGTTAGTAAGGCGCCGGAGGAAGGTTCACGACCTGAAATGCACCACTGACTTAAGAAAAATGTGTTTTCCTAGCTGTGCGTGTGTGAGTGTGAGCAGTGATGCCAGTGTGTGTGTGTTTTTTTTCTTCGTGGTGAGAGCAGTCACTCACTATATTTTCTGTCAGCTTCGTTTTCTGGCAGACGCACAGAACCCCGTCACGAAGGTGTCAATGACAGTGTGGCTCAACACTCCAGTTTTCCCCCCTACTGTGCTCCCTGTTGTGCAACTTTATTACAATAATAATTCCACTGGCTAAAAATGTTATGTGCGCCAGACGTCTCGCTGTGTTGTCTTACATTTCATCACCTGAAGGGTAATGTGCAAACAAAGTGGAGATGCGGCTATTTTGTGTCAGTAGAAAAGTCAAAGTAACGGTTTGAGATTCCGCAGGAATGTTTTGAGACGCTCGAGGCACATTGGGAAAATTGGAATTCTCATCAGAATTTTGTTATGTTTCCTAAAATGTATTTTATATGCTTTTGTATATCTAGTGTATGTCTCTGGGGTTCATGTTAATAGAGTTAAACGTCATTCTGGAGACTGCATACACCGATGCATTTAAATTCACCCCTCTGTTGTAAGCTAGTATCATCAGTATCATGTTTGTTGTAAACTTTGTTTATTGTTGTAAGATGGAAAAAGTAAAACTAGATCTATGCATTTTATTTATTAAAAAATATATATGCATGTTAAATAAACTTTTTCCAATTTTTAGACTGTTCATTTGTTAAACTTATATACACAGTTCAGAGGACAACATCAAACAAAATGTTTACACAAAATCATTTATTTACATTTGTTCGTTCGTATATTTATACCAAATTTAATACAATACACAATTTACACATAAAGGCCTAATCCAGAGAGAAACAAAGCATTCAGCATCTCCATGCAATAGTTAGCATTACAGACTATTATCAAGAGCTGATTTATGTGATTCTTTTACTACTCAGGATTGCTTCCTGGGGTGCAGTGGCAAGTATGCAACTCTCTCCATGTCCTCCAGAAAGTGGTGGAAAGGTGTAAGGCTGACCGTCTTGTGAATAAATTATGATCTCCCTGAGACCCTGCTGGACTGTACAGAAGAGAAAATGGATATGTCTGTTTACGCTTAAGTTTCTGATAAATTGTAGATGGTTTCTGGTGGATTCGGAGACTTGTGCTTTTCTGCAGAAACATTTCAGTGACAGAGGCAAACTCAGGTCAAGTATTTTGAATAGAAATCCACTCCTTAGATTTTTTTTTTTTTTTTCGAATAGCAGTTGCCACAAAAAACCTCAAATTTTGCCAGATGGATTGAAATACACTTGAAAATATCCAATTTTCAACCATTCAAGAATTCTGCAAAGCTGTAACTATACCAATAGTATGCTTTAGACATTAGTTCCCTGTTTTGGGAAAAACGCTCAATCTCCTCCTTGCCAGAGTTTGGAGATGAGAATAGGGATGATACCCTCACATCAGTGGGTTCATTAAAAAATGCAGCCAGTACCCAGCTAACTCCAAATGTCAAACAATTTATTTAGACGTTTAAAACACAAATACATGAATCATATTCATGTTTCTGACACTAAATAAAGTAAAAGGTTTGCCACTACTACTGCCAACGAGTCAAGATAAACAGTTTCTTTTAATTAAAAAAGGAATATTTTTATCTTCTTTTATCTGTTGGTTTCAGGCTCAAACTGTCTTTATTTGATTTTAAAGTATCTGGAAACTTTTTCTTGAGAGATTAAACCAAACATTGCAGAGGTTCTTTAATCTCCTTTGAAGTTCCCTAAAGACAAAGTGGCTGTTTGGAGAGCACAGCTTATTTTTCCATGCAATGGTTTACTCAGGCTATTATTGTTACCTTGTCCTTCAAGCTCTCCTGATAACTTCTTCTCATGAATAAGCCAATTCTCCTGTCAAAGCATTCCCTGAAGAAAATCTGCATTCTTCCATGTGCAACCACTTTCAAAGCTCAAGATTCTGTAAGTGATGGGCTATGAGGCCAAAGACCACTAATATTTTCCCTTCCCTTTTTTCTTTTTCAAACCGTACCCTGAAATGATTAAACCCATCACTAGATAATCTTGCTTCTCTTCCATCTGATGTCTTTGGTCTAACATTTCCTTTAGTTGCTCTACATCTGTTTGGCTTCTTCAGCTCACCTCACAAACTATTGCCTTTTATAGGACTTATCTCTTCCTACACCTGGATTCAATCATCGTCTTTCTTACGGGGTGGAAGTTGTATCTGCTGCTGGGACATGTTTGTTTCCAACTGGACATCTGAACTGTTCGTTCACACACAGCCCACAGGCCTGTGATTAGAGAGGTCAATGATAATTCTGAAGTTTGCACAGGCTGCCAAGCTATAGATCTATGTTTGGAGTGCTGTTATGTGCTCCACATAGAAAGATTTACAAGTTTGAAATGATATCATTTACAGCATATTAAATGATAAATCTGTTGCACATCACAACTAAAAATATAACAGCACAAATGAACTGAGAAAAAAAAAGACATCTTCAAATGTTAAATGTGCAGAGAGCTCGGTAGCAATTTCAAAGGAAATATGTGTCCATAATACTCTTGTGCCCAATTTATTGCTGATTGCTTGAGTTCAATTTGGTTGTTTGTGAAAGTCAAACTGTTTTTACAGTCCTCAAGAGAATATGTAATTTATTTTCTAATTAGCAGCAGGCTTATATTTACTTGTCAGCCTCTTCTGGTTTCTCCAAGGTCCATAGTGCACCTTATTCATTTTGGGATTAGTTCAGCTCGAAGGGTTTCTCCCATGGGTCTGCAAAACCCCATACTGCAGATAAACAATAGATTTAATCACTGAGTAAACTCCATGCCTATTACTTAGTTCAGTTAAAGTAGCCAAATAGTCAATTCATGTGTCTATTTCCATATCCATATGGCGTTATAGTCTACATTTATTTGTATTGCTACTCATACTTTTACATAGCTCAATAAAAACCTGACTTGCAAACACAAGCTGTGTTTCTTCTGAATTCTCATGCTTAAGAAATCATGTTTTGTTAATTAAGAAATGGCAGTGGAGTTTTTTGTCCTACTAACAAGATTGCAAACTGAAGCCAAAAAGATTATTGTAAAATCAGCAGATTCATGCTACAAAGAATGGAAAAAAAACCAGTGACTCAGAGAGTCAAAGAGTTGCACAACACAACTTCAGTTATTCGCTGAAAATCACACAACTAAATCAACAACAAGATTCTTGTGCAAGGTACAAATACCTTAGCCACACAACATGCAACATGAAAAACGTATTTAATTCACCAGCAGCACTTTTCATGAACTGTTATAGTTTGAAACATGCTGAATTTTATTCATTCTCAAGTTTAATGATATTTATTGCACTTCAAGATATAAAGGCAGCTCATAAACACTTTGCCCTAGAACAAAAACAAAGTTCATTTAGACCCTGAAAGAGCTTCTTGGTGAGAATGAAAGTATTGAGGAATAGATTACTATAAGTAACACTTTGTTTGGTGATGTTCTAATGTGGAATGTGCAGAGGGGGGGAAGGAAATTATGTCATGCTTCCAAAAACAATTATCTTTATTTTGAAGTGCCAGTCTAGAGTAAGGTCCTTGCTTGTCATGACGACAACCTCAGTCTTCCACATTTTAAGTAAGTGTGGAAGAACGTCTGTCTGAATCACAGTTGGCAATATGGTACACTAATGAAAAACACTGAGAAGCATGGCTGAAAAGATTCTCTGTTCACTGGGTGGCATGCTTCACCCCACTGTCTCTTTTGCATGTTCCTCCCCTTCATGGAGAGTTTCTGAGTTTGTATAATAAGGGCTCAGTGTCTGCTTCAGACAACAAGGACCTCACGTTGGTTTCTCTCCGAACTTGAGGAAAAGCATGAGTTCAGTGGAAAGCTATGGCCAATTACCAAGTGTTTGGGGTCTACCATAGTATTTATAGTTTTTAAATTTCTGGTTTTGGGTCAAGCATCGAAATATGTCAGCAAAAACACCCACTATGGAAGTGGAATGCCACAGATTAGCTCTATAAAAGTTCCAATTTCAACCCTCAATTTAGTGTATTCATTCATAAAATGAGAGCAAAGTCAATAAAAGCCGGTCACCAAGTTACATAAAAACAAATGATACTTGTCTTTTACCGTGGTTGGGAGAAATTAATATACCAAATTCTTCAATTAAACGTCAGACCTAATGAGTTTTCTAAATTGATGTCTGTCTCGGGTTTGTGATTTTCATAGTAATGGGGGGATTCACACTCTGATGCCATCATATGACTCTCAACTGAAGACCTAACAATATAAAGAAAAGATTATTATAGATATATCATTTTGATGTGATTGCTAGTGTAAACACTGATCAAATTATATTATTTCAACCTACTTTTTATCACTTCTGTTGGCATTACTGAATGCGTGTAGATACTCTTCTTCTGGTGGTTGAGGTGACTCTGCGATTCTGGGTCCTACCCCGTTGCTCTGAAGGATAAGCAACTACCTGGGTGGATGATCTCCTCATCTGCAGACCATCTAACTCTCTCATGTCCCTCGCCATCTGAGACAAAGTTTGAGCTGGGTTGGTCTGCAGACGCTGGAAAAGGCTTTCCCTGTTGATTTTCCTCTCTGGACAACTGAAGGTAAGTGCAACTCCAGAGTCTGACTTCATCTCTCTGGAGAAACCATCTGAGGTGCCATCGAAGCAGCGCCCAATAGCGATCTCTTTGGCCACTCTAGGGTTCTGGTCTGTGACTGTGTAGATACCATAGTTGTGTCCCAAAGGGTCAACGGGTGCTAACATGGTGAAGGCATGAGACTCGTTGTTTTGAGCCACTGGTGGATGTTTAATGAGATACTCTTGTAGGAGGTTGTTGGTGTTGATCCTGCGGCAGTTACCTTGTGGAAGGATTGATATGAGGGACCGGTCCACCTCAGCTTGGTCAAATAACATGCCACTGCATTTGAACTCTAAACATGCTGCTGAGGTATTGGACTCTCGCATATCCCGAGTGCTGCGAATGTCTCTAATTCCATAAAGCTGGCCCTTTGTCTCTTGGTGTGTTCCTCCCAGATTCCTTGACCTGACCATGACTTCTTTCTGTCCAAGAATTTTGATCTTGATGAAGCATGCTCTAAACTCTTGGGGGTTAGGCCACCAGGACAGGTAATCTCCTGTCCAGGTTGTCAAATCATTCTCCTCAAAGGGAACAACGTTGTATTCATATTTGTCCTTTTCTACTCTAAAAAACCTGAAATGATTAGCATCAACAGGGGCATTTTCACAAGCTATTAAATTCTGATATGGATATATTGGCCCATTGGTCTCATCAAAATTGTTTTGGTTAGGCTTTGCCAAATTGATTTTGAAGGCAGTTTTCTTTAATGCTGGATCATCATGGTCTGAACGCTGGTAGTCTATTTTATCTAGATAGGGCTGAGAGACTCCAATGATGTTTGGATTCATCTTTGGGGAGGAAGGAGCTGCCTCTAGTTCCTCCCCACCCAGCATTGCTGTGACATAAGCTGTGTAAGCATCAGGCTTCTGGGCATCACAGAAAGCTGGTAAACAGGCCCCATTAGGTCCTGTTATGACACTGTCAAAGCGGCCCCATGCCCTGGGATTAGAAGAATAACCAGGCTTGGGCTCCAAGTTTATCAAGCTAATCACAATACCCTCCAGCTGTTCAGTAGGTAGGAACTTGTCACTCATGTAGGCACGAACTTTGACATAGCAGCGTCTATTTTCAGGTACGTCTAAATTGAAAAGTCTGCGTTCTCTGATTTCCATGTTGCCTATGAGGAATGTGCGCTCCTCGCGCTTGCTCCTTCCATGACCACCAGTAGTTGTTGTGCTGTAAGAAAAGTCGCTCTCCTCTTCCCAGACTCCTGTGTCGGGATTCAAAGACCACAGTTTCATCTGGGGAATGTGTTCTTGCATTTTGACGTGCTGTGTGTCAAGGAGGACTTGGACAGCGCCAGCTCCAAGTACCTCCTTGTTGGAGTCATCTCTGAAGTCTACAGAGAACATGCCATAGGTCCTTAAAGGAAGCATGTCACCTTCATCATCCACAAAGTTAAGGTCGCCGGGGGCAGCTGCTGCAGTAGTGATGTTTCTTGGGTCAATGAATGTGACACTGGCTTTGACAGTTCCTTCGTAGATTTCTCCATTGTCCTTATGAAAAGAATTAGGAGGAATAACCAACTGCCCTATGGGGTCTTCATCTTTAATTTCTCCAAGGTTAATAAAATTGGTCTCTCCTGCATTGATATCAATTGGTGTTTGTTTTCTCATCACTTTCACATCGTGGTAAATAGATCCACTTTTCTTGTCAAAGATGAACACCTTGGGCGTGTCAATAAACTTTTGACTAGGATCAACAAAATTTACAACTAATCTCTGTGTGTCAGGGGTGATTCTTAATGTGAAGCCTCCTTGGTATCCAGTGGTACCCATTCTCTCTTTACCAATGTAGATGTGCCCAAAACGCAGAGGCTCATTATTGTCAGCTGTGACTACTCGACCTCGAACCAGCACAGTTGGCTGCACGCACTTCTGACAACTGCACTGTATCACAGCACGGATGGGGAGGCTGTAGCTACCACAGTCAATAATTCTGCTTTCCATATTTTTAACACCACAACAGAATCCAGCTCCATCTCTGCAGCCCATATCAAAATCTAAGGAACCAGCACATTTGTTGTGAGGACAGCGGCCAGCATTGTAGTACTTGGAGTCAGTCCCGGGTTGAACACAGTCTGTGGGTAGCCTGATGAGATGTGTTTCAGGGGTAGAATTGCATGCTGGTGCTCCTTTGTCTGTGAAATAGACAATAAATGACATTAAGCTTGTGTTCTTTCATCATCATGAAAGAAATATTGCCATAAATTTTAAGTTGACTGCTGTGTAATGTGACTTTGATGTTGTTTCGGAAGTAAATGCAGAGTTAACATATTGAAAACAGGCCTGTTCATGTTCTATTTGCTTTGCTGTATCTGCTCTTGAAAGTTTGTCAAATATACAATCTAGCATTAAAATAAAATTGCTGGTTTGAGGGTAATTGCATATTGATTCATAAGCATAATGTGGAACAGGTATAGTGAATAGTTAGAACTTGTTGGTGGAATATATAAAAAATATTTATACCTTTATTTTTCACACGTGGATGCTCACATTATAAACACAGTAAACACAAACGCCCAAGGTCTGCATGACCTGAAAGTGCATTTAAGTGGCCAGATTGGATTGTGAAATATGCATAAAATGGTAATTAGACTTCAAGCTTAAGAAAAAGTTTCTTCACCAACCATCCAACTGGGAGCTGGAAGGAATGACCAATTGTTCAACAACCCACTGGCTGCAGAATTATTATGCAGGATATCATGGTTGTTTGTAGTTAAGTATCCCTGTCAAGCTCACCATCTCCCACATAAGTCAATAACTGCAAACACATGAAGCAGTTTGATTTGTAGATTGCTGTATTGCTTTGCAAGTTTCCTTTGATCATGAATTATTTAACATATAACCTCCTGAACAGTTGTAAACATATTGTGTTATTCAAATTAAACTTCTGCATTATGTGCAAGGGGAAAAGAAACTATTGGGATGAAGGCATGTTTATCATCCCGCTCTGAGGTGCAGGTGTTGTTCTGCACACATAAAGTCTCTCCAGCCATAATGACTTTTGGAGTACAGGGATTTGTCTGTTGCCTAGAATTGATTGCTTTAGCACTGTTCCATGAAAAGCCTGTTTGTTAATCTGTGTCTTAACTAACAAGCACCTGGAGACTATAAGCTGTGTATGTGGGGTTCTCCCACATGGATGTGGAAAGACATACTTGTCTGAGTCTGAGAGAGAAAAGAAACATAATTTATTGACAATCTTGGGTTTCATCTCAACACTGGGTGTTCTGGAAAAATTGGGTTTGAGGTTTTACAGAGTCCAGAGCCCTCTCACACAATAAAGAATCCCTGTTTAGAAAGCTGTAGTTTCAACCAATGTAAACACAATAAAAACCTATTCCTCCAGGCTCTGCCAGATCGTAAGACTGATATTTTTCATTTTCCCATGTCGGTTTTTTTTTAATGAAAGATAGTTTATTAACTGACTTTCTCCTCTCTTTCAGTTGTAAGCCACTGTGGTTTTGTTTGATTCCTCTTAATGCGTAGACATGGCTCATGGATGACTTGGTTTGAGCTCAGCACTGACATTCCTCTTTAACTGTGTATTCAATCTCTGAGGCAGCTGCTCTTTATACAGTAGAGTTGCGGTTGTTTGCTTTTTGTCAGTGGTTATACTTGAACCAGTGCAAGACGTTGACTAAATACGTCATTGTCAAATGCACTGGGGTGGTAGCCATCCCGAGCTATAATCCCTGTCTGCCGCTTTCTATCATCATAGCAAATTATTTCTTCTCAGTCTGATGAAGATTAATTACATTTTACCAGAACTATTTTTACTTAAAGAACAACCTTGAAACAGAAAAAAACACTGGTATTCAGTGCTGTAAATACACTATATAACTTTTTCCAAGGGTCACATATCTATCATTCTCTTAGCAGGACTACATACATACTACTAGTCTGCATTTCATAAACTTGGTGCGGAGGTGGTGCATAGGCAAGGGAAAAAACTTATTGGTGCCAATCCAGATCAGTATCTTCACTTACAAAAAACTAAATGGGGCATTAGCTCTGGCAGAGGAAGTGGTTTTTTTGTTTCTGCCATTCTTGTTTGGTGCTACACATACCAATTACAGTAAGGAAGGCGGGGGAGGACTTGATGCTTCCTGCAGGGCTGCTGGCTTTACAGTAATACTGTCCCGACTGCTCTGGCTTCAGATTTCGCAGTACAAGCTCCTCTTCATACTTGTATACCTTCCTGTCCAGCAGAGTCCCATTGTGATACCTTGATAAACAGACACAAAGAAGGAAACAGAGAGAGTGATTCGTTCCTCACTTTACTTTTTTACATTATTGTGGAATGTTTATTGAACTTTAATCAATTATATTTAAAATTATATCTAAAATGTTAGCAAATATGCCACCAGTTATACTTATTTTGATGATTTATGCTAACAATGACTGTGCAATGACTTTCATAGGAAGATTTATCCGATGACTTTAGCTTATAGAGCTTATGTTTTAGTTTTATAACTTAAAAACGATACATTTCATAAGTGTAGGAAGGACTGTAGCTATTTTTTGAGTGTTATTCTATGAGAGTGTGCCAACAATGATGTTCATCTCACCAGTAGTATTTGTCAGGTGTTGGTGATCCTGCTGCCTTGCAGCACAGCAGCACCCGTCCTCCCTCGTAACGCACTTTATCCTCCGGGTGCTTCACAATGTACGGCTTTTCTGTGGAAAGCAGAAAGGAGCAAATCATCAAGACTTTACTCTGATTGTTGTGAATGGTGCCGCAGGTCATAGAGAGCTCATAAAATTCAAATATTACACTTTATTCACCCGTCGGTCTCTGAGCTTATGAAAAATGATTGTTGAGGGAATTGCCTTTTCGAAAGCAGCTCAAGTCTATTTTTATTTGGTCTCCATGCAACCAAGTCACTGCTCAGGGCTATGTAAAGTCTCACAATAGTCCAAACTGTTTATGTTGTAGAGCTGTCAATTTCCTGTTTTCAGTCGTCTGAGAATATGATTGAAGGATTCGTAGACTATGTGGAATAATAATAATGCTAGTCTTGTAATAATACCTATTTTAAGAACAATCCAAAAATATGTAATCACTTTTCTTTCATTTATCTGCACTTACCAGCTGATCTAAGAATAGCCCGGACCCAGGACATGCCTGTGGTGTTACTGGAAGTGGACACAGTGATGGGGGCAAATTTCTCCTTCCTGATGGTGATTAAAGTTGGGCTGGAAGAGCAGATTCCTGGGAGCTTAAAGTGACCCATAGCGTCTGTACGGGCACGGATGACCTTGGGATGGCTGGCTAGTGACACAAAGGCTCCTGCCACAGGGACACCAGTCACACTGTGGATATCACCATGTAGGATGTGGCCTTTGCACACGCAGTGACTGCAGTCTTCACTGGGATGTCCTTCAGTGCACACATACTGGCATTTGGCTTTTGTAAAGAAAGCGTTGAAATGTTAGCAGATACTGATCAAGACACCAAAGTACAGAAATGCCTCACTACAGCTAAATGCAGTGTGGCTTTGCATACCTGGGCATGGAGTCTTTCCACATTTCTGGATTTCAACAGGCCGTCCCACACACTGCACTGTCGCTGAAGTCCTTACGCAAGTCCTTCTCTTAATCCTGCGACCTCCACCACAGGTCACTGAACATGACCCCCAGGGACCCCATGGACTCCATTTAGCTACAAAAAGACACAACAGAAGGGAGTTTCAGTGAATCATTCTATCAAATGGATTGTTAACTCCCCTGTGCTGCGCTATAGGATTTCTAAAGGATTTAGCTGCATTTAGAACTTTACTGAAACAGCTTCAATCAATAAGACTGCTGCTATTAACGGAAAATATCAGTTAATAATACAGAAAATATACTGTGAATAAACTGAATTTTCCATTTTATAGCTTTTATAGCTGAAGGAAAATGTCCGTAAATAGTACAGAGAGTATACTATAAATCTACAGAATTTTCCGTTTTATCATTTACAAAAAAGTCCGTCAAACTTCCGTAAAAAAACAGAAAATGTACTGGCAGAAAATTACCAGGACATTTTCCGTTTTTCTACAGAATTTTTTTTACAGTGTACTGAATGGTTTAAAAGGAATGTTTTGGGGAATTCACCAATAAAAAGGGACATTATGAATCACGTTGTTGATTAAAATAGTTTATGTGTAGTTCAAAGACCATATTCTCTACACTAGATTAGGGTCCTGTCCGAAATTTGGTGGTGATTGATTTTTGGCTGTTACCTGTACATGGTGGGGTGGTGCACTCTCTTCTCTCTGAATGGTGCCCCTGACATGCTGGCACCAACAGCAGAGGCATGGGCTGTGCGCTCACACATTTCCTCCGGCGGACTTGGACACCCACGTCATTACAAACTGTGGTTGAACAGGGGCCCCACTCACTCCACTCAGTCCAATAGCTTTGCACTAAAAACATATTACAGAGAACAGATGGACATTTTAATCTCGAAAGATGTAGCTATGCACCAATGTTTACAATGTTTAATATTTGTTTAGTTTTTGTAGTGTTTTGGCTAAATATTCATTTCTGTGAAGAAAAAGCTTCCGCAGCCCTGGGCTGCTGTAATCGGCTCTACCTGGGGGGCACTGGAAGCGAACGTGGTAGTTAGAACAAACGCGACCATGTGGCTGTTCCTTGTTGATGCACCAGAATCCCTTCTCCAGACTTGAATGAACCACTTCCCCAGTTTCTGCCGCTTCCACCCAGTCTGTTGTACGAGCCTCCATGGCTGTAGGCCGTGCACAAACTCTCTCTCTGTAATAGAAACGAATTGCCTCCAGGCGCTCGTAGTCTCCATTTCCCCCAGGATGGTCAATGTTGAACCAAGATGTCCATTCAGTCACGCCTGGAGGCACATGAAGGGAAGACGTGGATAAAAACCACAAAGATAGAACATTAGAAAAATAATAATAATTGTGGTGTGGAGGTTGGAGCTAGTTTTACATGGGGGGACACTGTTAAGAATTAAGAAAGACTTGCACAGCAGGGATGGGTTACAAGCTTTCAGGGGTCTGCAACTATCATCTGAAACTGACTTCATATACTCCAGGGAGCTTTGTATTGTTGAGGATCTTTCCATGCCCCCTGGCTTGAGTCATGAGGCATTCTGTTTAGTTTTCCATCTGTGGCATGTTCTGAAACCTGAACAATTTCCTACTGAGAAACACGAGGAATTACAAATAAAAGGAACCCATTAGCCACATGTGATAGATTGTTTTCCTTTTAAAGTAAAGCACTGCTTTACTCCCAAACAATAATGTCCACCAAGAATTGATTATGTGTTACAGACAGCTGTTTAAAAAAGTTTAAAAAAAGAAAAAGTTGTTTATTGAAATGCTCCTAATTGTATTAATGTTGTGGTTTAAAGCTGTTCACATCACGGAAAGCTGACTGAGGCAAACGATCCTCCCAGCTATGCTAACGGTGAATGATTAGAAAGCAGCTTAGTCATACATCTTTTGTACAGAAAGGTCTTTTAGTGTTACACGTCTATCTGTTCTTAATAACTGCTCAAAACCTGTCATATGAGCTGCAAGATAACCTCATCCACATAAGTAATTATAGTTTAAAAAACTCCCACTCTTTGTTTTACTTCACTGATCAGAAACACAGTTTCCATAACAACAGGCTGTTAGGGGAACAAACAGGAATTATTATGGTGCACGGAGTGATTTTTATTTAGCTTTGGGTCGAGACTTGAGCCCTGTCTTTATTTGCTTCTATTATTCCATTGATAAAAGTATCTGTAATTAAGTATTTTTGTAATTAACTATTATTACTACTGTAGCCAAGGATGTCTAGACAGCATCGCTGGATGACTGAGACGAAGTTTAAAGGAGCATCTTTTTTCTATTATTTCCGAACAGATGTGTTCTTAAAAGCAATGGACACCATACGAAGACAAAACACACTGTGTCTAAAATTATGTCTGGGCTTCATGCCTTGGAGTTTAAAGTTTTCTGAGTTATGAGTCTGCAAAGGAATAAAATCTCTGAGGTAACATCTTTATTGGGCGCTAAAGGATTTACCTTGAGTCTTTAAAGGTTTAGTCACAGCCATTAGTACGGCTGCTAAATCAGCAAGTCAAATAGCAATAACGAGCGTACTGATAGTTTTATAATACTGGCTGGAATCTGCCTGCACTTTTGCTTTCAGCTGATATTTAAACTCTCGCGGTTTGAAAATGTTTGCCAAAGAATTAGCTCTCAATCTCCCGCCGGTACCTGTTGTCTGTGAGTCAGCGTATATGTTGAAGGCCACTCTCCGTCTCTTGTCTGAATGACTCTCAGTTCTCAGGGATTCTGCGTACACAAGAAAACAGCTGGTTATAGACCGAGCTTACACTTTTCGTCCTTGAGAAACTTTAAGAAGAAAGAAAAGAAATTCTAGAAGTCATGTGTTGGAGATGAGAGTGTGTTACCTTTTTGAAAATATCTATACTTGTGCTTGCTTAAATTACACTACTGATAAAATCCAGTTTTCAATGTGTGTGCGTTTTGAACAGCTGCTGAGATTTACTCCGATTTTGTATGGACACGTGCACGTTTTGCTCTTTCTTCGAGGCAAGGAGACTTTCTGCTTAAATAACAACAAACTGAAGATTTATTCCCTTTTCTTTCTCTCCGATGTAAGATTTCATCTATCCATCACTCTTCTTTTTTCCTATCTTTCCCCTTTCCATCCTCTCTGTCTTCTCTTTTATCATAGCTGCTCTTCAGCAGCGGCACTCTCTAATCCTTCTCTAATCTCCCCCAGAAATCTTTGTCATGCATCTTCTCATTCTTCAGTCCTTCTTGCCCTCCTCTGTCCTCCCTTCTCCTCTTGATCCATCAATAAGCACCCACTGTTGAGGATGTTAATGAACCTTCAGTTGAGAAAATCTGAACCTGCAGTCATCTGTGCAGAAGCTTTCTGTTCACCTCTTTCTCTTACTCAAACACATGCAGCAATTTCATGCCAATTGGTTTTATTTGAAGGACATATGACTGTAAAATATGTATTGAACACAAATTGCATGCCTATATCACTAAATAAGTCTTACATCATCTTCTTTTAAGCGCGTGTGTTCATACACACAGCAGTAGATGTAAGAAGTGAGCAAATACTAACTTTTTAGAAAAAGAACAATATTAAAGCTGGCATTCGTGTAATTTTTTCCCCTTTGATTTATTAAGCATGCACCGTACATTTTCACGCATGCTTTGATGTGCAATGATTCATTTTCCTGCGGCACAATTTTTTTTATGTTTTGAAAAGCGTCAGTTGTTTGCTTGACATTTCTCCTTTCGCTAAAAAACTCTGGGAAGAAATGTGAAATGTGGCCATGCGGAAAAAATAAATGTCAGTCTGTGACCGAAACAAAAAGTGGCTTATGTCGCTTCAGTGTGCGCGTGTGTAATATGTGCAAGCGCTTAGAACTGTGGGAGAGACGCTGCTGAGTTTACGAGCAGAGACGCCCAGCACAGAGACCGGTATCGATCCCAGTCCCCGCTGGTTTTACGGCTCACTTCAAGTCTTT